ATAAAAGGTGCGTATCCCTTTAAGGAGCTCGATGTCCGAGAACTGAGTCCGGCTTCGGAGGAAGAAGCCGCAGCGTCGGGGCGATGCGCGCGCATCTCGGAGAGGGGAAAGCTGCTGGCACGGGCATTGTTCCCTGACGTCACTCAGCCCAACGCTGCTGCTGCTGCTGCTGCTCTCCAAACTTGCCTTTGTTATTCAGCTCTCCATCTGACACGGCGGCTGGCTGCAAAACACGGAAACCGGAACACTCTCAAACCCAGGAACGGAGCCTCGGCGCCTAGCTAAAAGAAGGATCTCTTGCGAGGGGAAAAGAAAAAAAAAAAGTGGGGGGAGCCTGCGATTGGGGGTGGGGAACCTCCGGCATCCTCTGCTAGCCGTAACCCAGAGACCGTAGCCGGCCTTTTTTTTTTTTTTTTTTAAAAAGCAGCGGGGGTGATTTGCAAATCCAGTGGCAAGGAGTTCCCAAGGCTCCTGGCTTGAAAAGTAAAGCTTTTGAGACGCAAAAGCGTGGGAACGGGGATGCCGGTCACAAAGTAAGCTCCGTGACCTTTAAACGTGTGCCTCTCTGGCTTTTCCCCAAAAGCTGCATTTTTCAGGAAGGGAAGGGGAGGTTGGACGTTCAGGATGAGTGCTCCCTCCTCCCCCTTGAACCCAGGGATAAAAATCGGGGCCCTAATCATGCTTTGTCCCCTTTTCCTTTCGGTATAAACCCAAATTAACTTCCAAGTCCTATTCTTCCCGGGCAACGAAGGGGAATATAGGTAATCCTCGATTTACGGTCACCCCTGAGCCCCAAGTTTCTGTTGTTGTTAAGCGAGGAGTTTAAGTGAGTTTTGACCTGTTTTACGACATTTCTTGCCACCGTCGTTAAGCGAACCACTGAAGTTGTTAAGCTACTAAACCCGGCTGTTTAAGTGAATCTGGCTCCCCCCTTGACTTTGCTTGTCCATAAAACCCTCATCATAAATATGAACCAGCTGGCCAAGCCTCTGAATTTTGATCACAATGGGGATATGCTGCAACGGTGGGGAAAATGGTCGTAAGTCACTTCGTTCTATGCCGTTGGAATTTTGGAACCGTTACTAACTGAACTGTTGGTTAAGTCGAGGACTACCTGTACATATCCAAGGGGAGGCTCCTGTTAGTCCAGGAATGATGGGTTGGAAAGTAGCCAGTGAAATACGATCAGCTTAGCAAGATCCCCCACCCACCCGTTATCCAAGGGTCACTTTTTTGGCCTTAAGATGGGTGGGTGGGCGGCCGGGCAGGGCCGTCTTAACAGCATTATGGGCCCCGGGGAAAGCACTGAATTGGGGCCCCATGACAACTACTCACAGGAATAAAAATATAAATGGTCGATCAAATTAAACATGTATTTCTTTTATTGGCACTTCCAACAAAATCGGTGTTGAAACATTAAAAACACGCTCATCTCATCATGGGGCGGAGGATCCGTGTTAAATTTCTATTAATGCATGTTAATATTAATTTTAAAAAAATAATAAATAGAATTTTTTATTGGCCAAGTGTGATTGATTGGACACACAAGGAATTTGTCTTGGTGCATACGCTCTCGGTGTACATAAAAGAAAAGATATGTTCATCAAGAATCATAATTAAATTGACAAATTTTAAACTATGGGCCAAATTTATTTATTTTAAATTTATTTTTAATTGTACTTTATGTATAAATATTTTATTTTGGCTGTTCACCGCCCTGAGTCCGAAAGGAGAAGGGCGGTATAGAAATTTGAATAATAAATAAATAAATAAATAATGTACAACACTTAATGATAGTCGTAGGGTACAAATAAGTAAAATGTAATAAATATGTTGCTGTATTTATATCAGTGGTCACCAACCAGTGGTCTGTGGACCACTGGTGATCCATGAGAAAATTTTGGTGGTCTGCAGAAAAAATTATCTACATTTTTTAATATTGCACTAAATACTATTTATCTTTTTTTAAAAAAAATCATATCAGTGGTACGCGGGATTTAAAATTATGAATTTAGTGGTCCCTGAGATCCGAAAGGTTGGCGACCCCTGATTTATATGATACAAGGTGCATCGAAGGGTTAACATACACAGATTAGTATGGGGCCCCTATTATGCTCCTGGGGCCCACGGGCAAGTGCCCATCAGGCCCATGCGGTAAGACGACCCTGTGGGTGGGAAGAGGGTATATAAGCCCCATTGGGGGATCTTGGACTCCTCCCCCCCACCAGGCCAATCCCAGGCATTTTGTCTCCCCCCTTCTTCCCCCCCCCCCACTTCTTAGGATACGGGCATCTGTTGCCTGATCAGGGTGAAGCCAAGAAGTTGGAAAGGCTGGGAGATTTATAAGAAACTCGGGAAAGATTTTCCCTACTGAGAAATTTAAGATGGACAATGGACTGCTGTCTCCTTCCTTCCTTGTTACTTACTTACTTGCTTACTTCCTCTTTCTTTTCCTTTCTTTTCCTTGCTTTATCTTGCCTTGCCTTCTGTCTCCTTCCTTCCTTCCTTGTTACTTACCCTTTCCTTCCCTTCCCTTTCCTTACTATCTCTTGCTTTGCCTTGCCTTATGTCTCCTTCCTTCCTTCCCTTCCCCGGTACCCACACAAAACGAGGAAGGCGGAGAAGCGCTGGAATTGGGGTGAAACCGAATGCCCTGATCCCCGGCCCCCTTTTGCCCGGCAACCGGGGGTGAGTGGGTGGGTGGTTTGAAGGCAGATTGCTCGCTTCGTTCCCGCTGCAACGACAGCGATCGGGTTGGAAATATTTGGGGGAGCGAGGGAAGGGGAGAGAAGCATTTGGGGCCTTTAAAAAAAAAATGAATAAAAAGAAACGATCCCCGACAATTTCAAAGCGGGGGTCCCGTTCGCTTCTCTTGAGTTTTTTTTTGGGGGGGTCTCCCGTGTCTCCCCACCCTTTCCGCTTGTTGCCCGATAAGATCGTAGGATTAAGGGGGTCTGGAGAGCTCGATTTAAGAATTAAAGGATTTCGGGCGGGGTCTCAAAAAAAAAAAAAAAAGAGCTTGCGCGATCCTGGCAAGGAGGAAGGAAGGCAGGCTCGGGGATCGCGCTTCCGCGGCGCCTTGGCCGAACCCGACTCCGCTTCCCCCCGGGGAAGGGTCGTGAAAAGGCGGAGCAAAAAAGGAGGGGGAGGGCTGCCAGGGCTCCCTCCTATTCGGGGAGTGGGAGTGAAGAAACCTTTACAAAAAGGCGTTCGGTGAAAGCCGAGAGAAGTGGGGGTCTTCCTGGGGGGGGGGGGGTGGGCGTTTTTTTTTAAAAAAACCCACGCCCCTTCGCCCCTCCTCCCCTCCCCTGGAGCAGAAGCCCCTCCCTCCAATTTTGGCCCGCCCTCCCCTTCCCCTTCCCCCTTTCCCCGGAGAAGCTCTCGGCGCTGGATCCAGGATTGGGGAACTTCCCTCTGGGGTATCTATTTGGACTCGGCTGCCCGGCGGGTCTTCCGTGCGCCCGGCGTAAATAAAATAAATACCGATAAATAAATAAAATAAAATAAAGATTAAATAAGATACAGCTAATAAAAAAAATAAAGAGGAAAAAAAAACGCGAGTATAAAACGCGGCAGCCTTTGGGTCTCGTCGTCTTTGCGCCCTTCATAAATAACGCCAAGCAAAAAGGTACCGGCTTTTACTCCGAAGTAAGCCGCCCGCGGGGCTCCGGCGAGGTTTTCTTCTCCAAACAGGTAGAGAGGTTTGGGGAGGGGAGGTTCAGCGCCGCTCACCTGGGGAGCAAAATAACCCCCAGCCCCCCCACCTACCCCCCCCCCCCCGGTTGGGGAATCGCATCCCACCCCCATCGGCAGCGTCTGGGGTTTTGCGCGATCCCGCAGAGGAAGCACGGATCGGGCTGAGCTCGAGGATCCAAGCAGGGTCGGTCGGTTGGTCTAGGAGGTGGATGGATGGGGGTGGGGGGGGGACACGATCGGTTCAGTCTCGTAGGAAAACCCCCTTCCCGGAGCTCCGCGTTCTTTCCCCCGAATGCCAAACAATAAGCGTGCAAAGCGGAAGGCAGCTGGTTTTGCACGCGAGCGAGCCGTGTGTGTGTGTGTATGTGTGTGTCAAGGAAGGGGGGAGGGTTTCCCCCTGCGGAGAACGGCGAAGAAAGTGCCAAAGGCTTCGTGGGGGGTGGGGATCCCCCTTTTTTCCTCCCCCTCCCACTCCTCTCTCTCCCCCCTTTCTCTCCCTTTCTCTCCTTTCTCCCTTCCACCTCTTTCTCTCTCTCCCTTCCACCTCCCTCTCTCTCTTCTCCTCTCTCTCCCTTCCACTTCTCTGTCTCTCTCTCCCCTTCTCTCCCTCTTTCTCTCTCCCTTTCTCTCTCCCTTCCACCTTCTTTCTTTCTCTCTCTCCCTTTCTCTCCCTCTTTCTCTCTCCCTCTTTCTCTCTCCCTTCCACCTCTTTCTTTCTCTCTCTCCCTTTCTCTCCCTCTTTCTCTCTCCCTCTTTCTCTCTCCCCTCCACCTCTTTCTTTCTCTCTCTCTTTCTCTCTCTCCCTCTCTCTTCTCTTTCTCCCTTCCACCTCTTTCTCTCTCTCTCCCTTCCGCCTCTCTCTCTCTCTCTCTCCCTTCCACTTCTCTGTCTGTCTGTCTCTCTCCCTTCTACCTCTCTGTCTCTCTCTCTCCCTTTCTCTCTCTCTCTCTCTCTCTCACCCCGCCGCCGGTGAATTTTTTTTTCTCTTTTTTTATCAATCAGCGGGTCCGGTTGCCATTCAGCTGGCTTCCCCCAGACAGGAAGTTCTCCCCTTTGATGCGAGGGGGGGGAGGAGGAGGAGAAGGAGAGGGAGGGGGGGGGGGAGAGAGAGAGGTGGGGGGGGGAAGGGATCGAAAGACAATTATTTGCGTTGTTCAACTTGGCTTTTCAGGATTGTAACTTTCGATGGTCAGAAGGTGGAGTGGAAGCGAAGGGAGCTTGGGGAGGGGGGGACGCGGAGGAGAGAGAGGTTGGGGGGGGGTGGGAGCCAACCAGCCAGCCAGCCAGCGGAAGGCGTCTACTCCAAGCTCCCTTTCAGATAGGAATCTGGGACAGATTTTGCCAACAGCCAGAAGCGCGGGGCCCTTTGGTAATAAAATAGCCCATGTAATTTGACACTTCAACTTGCTGGGCTTCTCTTGCGAGTTGATTCACTTTTATTCTTTCTACTAACACGGTGCTCTTTTTTTTTTTTTTTTTCCTTCCCCTTTTGGCTGGGTTGAAGGTTTGGGGTCGGTGGTGTGTCTTTTTTTTTTTTTTTTTTAAATCCTGGTTTATTTTTATTTGATATTTGATGATTATTATTTTCTCTCTTCGCCGCCCGCACCCCCCCTCCCCTCTCTCTCTCTCGCGTCCCCCGGAAAAAGCAAGGGAATAAGCGCGATTGAAAAGAGAGAGAGAGACAGAGAGAGAGAGAGACATACACAAAACTTCACCCTTCCTCGAGCTGCCGGACCGCGACCTGCAAGCCGCAGGGCGAGGGGGCAAAAAAAAAAAGGGGGGGGGGTGTTGAAAAACGACAATATTGGGGTTTTTTTTTTTTGTTTTTTTTTTAAATTCTTTTCCATGCCGCTTCTCCTTTTGGCCTTTTGGATGCTTGCCTTGCTTCCCGCCGGCTTCCCTATGCGTTTTGCCCGCCGGCCGCCCCAGCTGCTCGGTTTCTCCAGCGCCGAGCCCTAGGTAAGTTTTTTGGCGTCCTGCTGGTTCCCCGCGTTCTCGGTGCCCCTTTGGAGGGGTGGGGGGTTCCCCCTTCCTGGCCGTGGGGGGGGGGTGGCTTGCAGAAACAATGGAAAAGGTCCGGGGAGCGGAGAGAAGAAGGCAGGCAGGCGAGGTTGGATGGAGCTGGCGAGCGATGGGGTTGGGGGGCCAGCTTGCAAAAAAAAACCGGGGGCTCCTCCAGCGAGTGTGTCTTGCCAGCAGAAGAGTGGGAAGACTTCTTAAAGGGGCCGGGGTGCTTTTTCGGGGATCGTTGGGCGCCGGGGGTGGGTGGGTGGGTGGGCTGGAAGCTTGGGAGCTCCCTGGGGGGGAGGGGGAGAAAGGGGGGGAGATGCGCTTAATTAATTGGCCTGCGAGATTAAATAAGTTGCTTGTGGTTGTGGGTTTTTTTTTTCTTCTCCCCGCGGTGGCCAAGGGGGTGGGTGGGTGGGATGGGAGAAGGGCGCCCGGGAAAGAGAACCTTTATATCTAATTTATATATATATATATATATATATATAAATTAGATCTATCATTTATATATGTAGATATAAATAAAATCCGCACAGGGGTGAGCGGAAGCGTGCAAGGAAAAAAAAAAAGAAAGAAGAGGGGAGCAAAGAATAAATCTGCGTTCGGTATCGATTGAGCCGCGAGAGGTGTTTCTTTTGTGTGTGTGTGTGTGTGTGTGTGGTTTGTGTGTGGCATCTGAAGTTTTGAAGAGCCGCAACAATGTTGCCTCGGCAAAGGGAAGCCAAACCGGAGCAGGCTCGGTTGTGGCATTAAAAAAAAACAAAAACAAACAAATACATACAGACACACAAAACAAAGGAGGTTTAAAAATAAGCTGCTGGTTTGACTGGCGGGAGGAGAGGGGGGGGGTGTTTCAGGCATGTTTCCCCCCCCTTTTTTTTTGCTTTTCCTGGCTCTCTCTCTCTCTCCCTCCCCTCCCCCCCCCATTTCGCGCCCACCCTAACCCCCCCCTCCCCGTGTCTCCTGACCCGGCTTTCCACTCCGGCCAAGCGCCTTTCCCTAAAAAAGCGACGCCTTTTCTGGATCGGTGGCCTCGAGGGAGGAAGAGTTTGACGCCCGCGTGGAAAGGGATGTGCGAGCGGCGGGGGGGGGGGGAGAGAGAGAAAAAGAAAGAGCCGGGTGGAAGGAGGAGGAATCTCGCCCTCCTCCGCTAGCGGGCTTGGGAATTGAGGCCTCTTTAAGCTAGGCTGGAGGGATATGTGGGGGGGGGGCGGGGCGAAGGGCTTGGAATAGCCGCCCCCCCACCCTCCCTTCGTACATCTGTCCAGGAAGGCCAGGAGAAGGGGGGGAGCGCAGGAAAAGCATGTGCGTGCGCGCTTGCCTTCTTAACATGGGGGGGGGTTGTGGGGAGGGTGTCTTCTCTCCCCCCCTTCTCTCTGGCTGGAACGCTAGCCGGTAAAATTAAAATTAAAATTAAAAAAAAAAAAAAAAGCAGAAGGGACGCAACGAGCCAGCATGCCAGCGGTTCAAACAGGAGCCTGGAGTTCCTTGCCTTAACCCCGGAGAAAGTCTCCGAGGCTGATTTAGAAAACAGAAGGAGGGGAGGGGAGAGGAGAGGAGAGGGGCGGGAAGGGAGAATCCCGAGATTCCTTTTTTATTTTTTTTTTCCTTTCTGTCCTGCAAACTTTTTTGGGCGTGTGGGGTGTGTGTGTGGTGGTCTTGCCTGGAGGCACCCTCATGGGAAGGAGGGAAGGCTTCCATTTCGGAACTTTCCCCCCCACACTCTTCCAAAAGACCCTTCCTCTTTAATTAGAAGCTGTAATTAAACATGGGCCTAAGAAACGAGGGAGGGGGAAGGAGCTGTGAAGCTCAGCATGGCCCACAGGGTAGGACGTTTGACTTGTCCCCTACAGTCACACACACAGAGAGAGGGAGGTAGGGTTTGAAATCTGGGGTCCCCCCCCCTCCCTATCATCCCTGGGAGTTGTGTGTGTTTGGGGTATGTACACACAGGGAGAGAGAGACAGACAGACAAAACTGGAATCGCTGATCTGATCTCTTTTAACTTAAAGGATGTTCTGGGGCCAGAAGAATTGGCTCTAATGTTATGCTGGGTGTTCTGAGCAACCTCTCTCTCTCTCACTCTCTCCCCCTCCCCTCCTTTCTCTCCCCCACTCCCCCTTGACATGAGAGTGAAGGATTTAACTTGGCAGGTTGAACAAATGCTCTCTTGAAAGGTTTCCAAGAGACAGTAAGAAAGCAGGAACAGGATTGAATGGACTGAGGTTTCTTTTGGGGGAGAGGAGGGGGGGCGGCTTTTTTTTTTTTAAAAAAAGAAACCTTGAATAGCCACTGGATGCCTCTCGACAAGCCCCGGTGGGACTGAGAGACCCTCTGAAAGGGCAAAAGGCTTTTGAGTCCCAAGGCTTGCCTGGAGATAGATGATGAGGAAAGGGGGTGGCGGGGTGGCGGGTGTGGGGGGGGCAGAGGGATGCTTGGATCTGCAATATGGGCTCTTGGCTTGAGAAGCTGGAAAGAAGGTTAATGATGGGAATGATGATTATATGCTAGCATTAGAGGAAGGGGGTTTACAAGAGGAGATTAGGGCTGGAATGGGTGGGCTCCCTGGGGTATAGTAGTTTCTAAAAGGGTCAGAGCCAGGCCGAGGGTTCAGAGGGATGGGGGGGGGATGGCCAGCCACTCACTCACTGGATTAGATTACCGGGTTTTTCCTGGCCTTTGTCCATCTGGGAAAAAAAAAAAAAACCTGTCTTTTTCTCACCCAAGGAACCTAACCAGATAGAAGCGATATTGGGGCCCTGTGGCTGGCGGGTGTAATAAATTATTAGCCGAAGTCAGATCTTGGCTTAAGGGAGGGCAGTAAGGGAATGCAGGCTTGTAAAAATGTCCACAGGGAGGTCTTCTCCATGCAAAAGGCCTGGAACGTCTCCAGGGGTTCCACCGACCGGACCACACACAACAACTTGGCTGGACGGGTGACCGTTTTTTTAAAAGTCCAGCATTTTATGGAAAGAAAAAGGTTGTAAAGGATAAAAATGCAGCCCCTTTCCCTATTTTTCAGGGTAGGGAAAGAAGCTGCATCTGGTTATCATAACATTTGTGTCATTTCTTAAAAGACCCCCCAATAAGCCTTGTAGACTTGGTAAAAGGAGCGTCAAACTCCCAAGCACAACTCCAAATCGGCACTCATATACAAGGGAGGCCTGGACTTATGACTGGCTGTCGAGCCAGAATTGCTGTTACTAAGCGAGTTTTGCCCTGTTTTACAACCCTTTCTCGCTGCCACTGTGAGAGGAAGCCCTGCCGTTGTTCGGTTAGTAACAACGGTCATTAAAGTGAATCTGGTTTTCCCGTCGAAGGTTGCAAAAGGAGGAATCCCATGATCCCAGGATACTGGTAACCGCCATAAATACGAACCCGTTTGCCAAGCATCTGGATTTGGATCACGTGGCCGCGGAGGATGCTGCCACAGTCACGAAGCGTGAGAAATAACTATGTATCACTGAGCAAAGCGCTTGGAAGAAAAAAAAAAGTCCATTTGCAAACTTCTTCTGGCATGGTTCTGCAAATTGGAAGTTCATCTGTCAGAAATGGTGTAGGGTCTCCTGCTTGGGCGGGGGGTTGGACTAGATGACCTACAAGGTCCCTTCCAACTCTGTTAATCTGTTAATTAATTCTCTTCAACACCAGCCTTCCTTTGGATAGGGGATTGGAGGCTAAAACATATGAAGAACGGTTGCAGGAACCAGGCATGGCTAGTCTAGTGAAGAGAATAACCAGGGGAGATGTGATAGCAGTTTTCCAATATTTGAGGGGCTGCCACAGAGAGGAAGGGGTCAAGCTATTTTCCAAAGCACCTGAGGGCAGGACAAGGAATAATGGATGGAAACTGAACAAGGAGAGATTCAACCTAGAAATAAGGAGGAACTTTCTGACAGTGAGAGCAATCAACCCATGGAACAGAAGTTGCCTTCGGAAGTTTGGGAGCTTCATCACTGGAGGCTTTCAAGAAGAGATTGGACTGCCATCTGTCTGAAATGATGTAGGGTTTCCTGCTTTGGTGGGGGGTTGGACTAGATGACCTACAAGGTCCCTTCCAACTCTGTTAATCTGTTAATTTACTTGTCTAGAAAATGACCCATTGCCGATTTTATAATCTAGGAGAATTTGGAGCCTTTTCAACATAATCCCCAAAACCAAACCGAGTAATGCTCACAAGTGCATTTTATTTATATTATTTTATTATTATTATTATTTTATTTTGTTAGTCTGTTAGGATTGATCTCTCTTCTGTTAGGGGCCTGATTCAGATTTATGAAAGCCAAGGAGGATCAGAGATGACCTTTTTCCTGTTCGAACTTGGAAGATGGTGAAACTACCAGCCGTCAAACAAAAGGCCCATTGAAAGCAAGATCTTGCAATGGAACACGTGGGTGGTTCCATGGACTTGGCTGAAGCTGTCTTCCCCCTCGTTTTGGGGGACTGAAAGGATACTACACACAGAGGAAGAGAAAAGGCGGTGCTAGGAGCTAATTTTTAAAAGCGGGCTTGCAAAATGCACGTCTCTTCAACAGACCTAAGAGTGATCTTGAAAATCGAAATAGCGACCCTGGGAGACTTTGCTGCTTGCAGAATAATTGGTATACAGGGAGCCCCCGACTTAACAACAGTTCATTTAGGGATCGTTGAAAGTTACAACGGCACTAAAAAAAAAGTGACTGTTTTTCACAAGTTGCAGCATCCCCCCCCCACATGGTCACATGGTCAAAATTGGGACGCTTGGCAACCGACTCATATTTATGACGGTTGAGTGTTCCTGGGTCACGGGATCTCCTTTTGCGACCTTCCGACAAGCAAAAGTCCGTGTTTTAAGGTTCACTTCGCGACCCTGTTAACTTAACTTTCCAACTGCAGTGATTCAGTTAACAAGCGGGGAGGGAAAGATTGTAAATTGGGGCAGAACTCGCTTAAGAGTCTCGCTTAACAGCAGA